TTCTTCGGACTGTACGATGAATTTATGATATCAAGCCATATAAGTTTTATTATATTCCGGAGAAGAAAATTAAATTAGCTTTTGAAAATGATAAAAATCAAAAAAATCGGTTAAAAAATGTATGACTTATACACATTTTTGTATTGATTCTATGCATATTCTTTAAAGGAACTATGGGTCTATCTCATTTCCTATTGCTGTTGCAAAAATAACGGTTTGTAACAGGAAACGATACAGACCCATATTTCCTTTAGAGAATATGCATAGAATCAAAAAAGAATAATATAAATCCGTTGTAAAGTAAATAAGTTATTCGAGTTTCAAATTGCAAATCCATGAAACCACGTTTTTCTTTATATTTACCGTTATAAAATTAATTTTCGAAGTGACCCAGAAAAACCAAAGGTATTTTCGTGGTCCAGGGACTCCAACTAAACAGAATTGGTACATTAGAACCCTTGAAAAAATTTCATGTCGCACAGTGTTATTTAGAGTAACAACGCAAAGTAATTTATTATAATAGTTATTAATTAATGTAATAATTATTAAATAATCTAATAATTATTATAAGCATAATTTTTAATAAATTATTCCTTGTGTATATTGTCTATGAACCATAGTATTCCTTTCAGCCCAAAATTTCTTTTTTTTTCAAAATTATACATATTTTATTACTTCACTTATAAATAGATGTAAGTGTTAATCCCAGTAGATTTTCATTAAACTAAATTCATATTTGTACCTAAGGTTACCAATTACCATTTGAGCTCAATAGGTAGGTCCTGACTTTTGACTTCGTTTTTTATTTATCCAAATTGGATATATAATCTTATATTGGGATAAACATATATATATATATATATCTAAGTATACCATTTACAATTCAACTTAGATCATACGATGATGTATTCTTATTTAGTAATTCTATATTTAAGGTCTTTGAAGCAATGTACTGATTCTTGATATACATTTAAGGTAATAAAAAGGGTATAATGAATTTTATAACGATAAAAATTTAAATTAATATGTTGTAGTGATTTATTTTAATGTGGAATAAGGTAGGTCCAGCCAAATAAAATGTTTTTATGGGGTTTCCTGCAAAATGAGAAACCCGCAGGGGATTTTGAAGAAATCCGTGGGAGGGCTCAAGGTACCCATGCACCAGCTGGGGTACCCACAACAACTCTGTATCGCTATCGAGACTCTTTAATGTTATTTTTCTTTGATATACTGTTGTGCATGGTCGAGTGAGGACGATGAGCTAAGCCGAGGCAAATTTTCGTTTTATATGTTTTATTTTTTAATATTATTTTTTGTTTTATTTGTTTTTCTGTTTATTTCGAATAAATTATAATAATAACAACAATGACCGTTAGGGTAATTTGCGAATTGTATTTAAGCTGATTTATCAAAAAAATCGCCCATAAAAATCCACATAATGGTCAACAAAAATCTCACAAAAAATTGTGAGACCGAGATTTCATTAAGAAACCTATAAAATTCGAAGCCTATTTTTGATTATTATTATTAAAAATTCACATCCAATTTTTTTATCATCCATTTTTATTAATATATTTCTATTTTACTGCGTCTTATTAGCACAATTTATAAATTTGAATGTCGGTTTACTCGATATTTGGTAACAATTGTTACCAAATGTTACTAAATGTTGTCTGTTTACACAAAAACCGAGTAAAAGAGAGTCAAGTGAGAGAGCAAGTTTGACAGTTGAACAACAACAAACTTACTGGAGTTTACTGAAAGAATTTTATTCAGTAAGATTTTGCAAACTCAACATTTTTTGATCAGCTGTTTTATGACCAAACACAAAAATTATTCAAAACATTTTTTTAATTTGCAAAGTTCAATTTGAAGTTAAGTTGTATAAAAATTACAGAAAATGGAAGAAAATTCGTAAGTAATGCAAAGTTTTATTAAATTAGAAACTAATTATATATATATATATATATATATTTAGGCAGGTTCCAGATAGAGGGCAATGTATTGATGCAGGAAGCTTAAATGTTCCCGGGGAACATACCAAATCAATTTTTCTTTCATTGTTCATTTTATTTTTAATATTAAATGTAATACAAATAATTGTGTTTGTCCTTTTTTGTTTGTTTATTTTGGCGCAAATAAAAATTTGATTTGGCGCAAATAAAAATTTGATTCAGTTTAAATAAAAATTTGATTTTCTTTTCAAACTGTAATTTTAATTCCCAATTTCAAGGCTCCAGCTCTATCTATTTAGTACTTTTTGTACTCATAAGTACGATTTTTTAAAGCTACCTCAATCCTGTATTCCAATAGTTTCTATTTTCAGGATTCCATCTTTATATGTTCAATTAAACGTAAATAGTACCAAATTTAGTACGATTTAGTACTTTTCATACACATAAGTACGAATTTCGAAAACCATTTTTATATATCAGCACCACTTTCCAATCTGTTTTCCACATAAAAATTCGAGATTCTAGCTATATATGCTTAATATATATACAATTACATGGCATAATTACAGAATGTAGTCTCATTTGAGCATTTTTTGATGGCAAGCCTTTTTAATTTGGAACTCATCTATCAATTTTAAATACTATGGAAAATAAATTCCATAAAATGTTATGTATGCATATTTTCAATAAATTAAAAAAATATATTTTCTAAAGTTGAACATTGCTCTCAAGATTTAACCAGGGTTGTTACAACTTATATTTATTTTTATAGAAAACCCATTCATTTTTTTCGTTTTTGATAAAATGTAAAAAATATGTCAAATGAACAGAACGAATTGTTGCATTTGTTTTTATTTATTCTGACGTTATTGCCCATAGGGTAGAAGTGTATTTTCTACTTTCTGATAAAAGCTACCCTACCTTGTATAATTGTACCATGATACTACTGAGATCATGGCGATTAACTGTCAAAGTGCGTAATTTCTACTTGAATTCGTTGAGCAATGTTTGCAACCATATGAAATATTATAAGAAAAAAATTGACAGACAAGATTTTTTGTTTTGATACATCACCTGGTTTTTGCATCATGCTCCGATCCATGGCACAATAAATCCATTTAGAACAGCTGATGTCTTGATTAACTGTCAAAGTGCGTATTTTCTACTTGAATTTGATGTGCAATGCTGCCACATTTTTGAAATATTATAAGGATAAATTTGACAGATGGTCGAGACAAAAACAAATGTTTTTGTTTTGATACATTACCTTATTATTGCATCATGCTCCAATCGATGATGCAATAATAAGGTGATGTATCAAAACAAAAACCTTTGTTTTTGTCTCGATTATCTGTCAAAAATGTCCATATAATATTTCAAATGGTTGGCAACACTGCACATTGAATACAAGTAGAAATTACCCACTTTGGCAGTTAATCAAGACATCAGCTGCGCTAAATGGATTGATTGATTGATTTCATTTTATTGAGTCTTCTTCTTTTCGATTACATATGTATGTATGTACTTAATAAATGATAACAAACGTAAGCTTAGAACTATAATCGTTTTGTTCTAATACACAATGAATGCTGAAAAGCTACATGCTAAAATGATATGAATGGTGTTAAATAATACAAGTATTTATAAGGTATACAAGGCTTGCTCACGGCCTATTAATCTTTTACGGATGCGCTAAATGGACTACCTATTCATTCAACATATAACACGAGCATGGCCTGTAAATAAGGTCACCAGGGAGACCAGCTGATAATCGATACCTCTCAAGTTTGCTATCAAAATGCATTATTATTGAATTGACTTCCATTAGAAAGCGTAAACAAAGACGAAATTTTTGACATTAAAGGGCTAAGCAGAATGCTCGCGTTGAGCCATCCGTTGCGTTATCGCAGCACACATCAACTTCGAGCGTTTGTGTTATCGTTTCCTTGTGGTTGTTGTATTTTCGATAACACATAACGCAACGGATTGCTCAACGCGAGCATTCTATGTAGCCCATGATCTATTAATAAGGAAATTACGGAGTAGAGTTCTATCTAGTTCAGTTGGCTGATCGCTCTTTTTAGTTCAGCTCTTTTGACTGAACTAGTTCGGTCTTCTAGTTCAGTAGTTCAATCGTTCACAATTAAGGGCTAAGCAGAATGCTCGCGTTGAGCCATCCGTCGCGTTATATGTTATCGAAAATACAACAACCACAAGGAAACGATATGCGTTTGTGTTATCGTTTCCTTGTGGTTGTTGTATTTTCGATAACATATAAGGCGACGGATGGCTCAACGCGAGCATTCTGCTTAGCCCTTTTATTCAGCTGTCGTTTTACTTCGGAGGTTATGTTCTTGGAAGATTGTGATGTGTGAATAAAAACAATTTTACAATTTTGTTTTATTTATGGTAAGGATATTATATATAACAATTTTAAAACAGTTTATGGGGATCTATAAGGTGTGGATTTTTAAAGAAAAGTTTCAGAATTATTGAAAAATTTCTTGCGAGCATAAATAATAAGCAACATATTTTATATGTTTACTAAATGAAATCGCTGTAAATATCACATGCAAAATAAAACTCGATCGCTGCCGCTTCCATTTAGAGGAAAATCGAACTAGGTCAGTAAAACGCTCAAATTTTAATGAACTAAAAGGAACGACTTTGAAAGACCTAGTTCAATCGGTCTTTTAAGTGAATCGTTCATTTGAACTAGTTTGTTCGTGAACTGGTTCTACTCTCATTGATGCGAGTATCATTTGGAATCTCTAACACCAGCTGGTCTTCGGGAATTAACAGCTGATATTGTTGTTGAGCAAGCCTAATCGGTGTTTGTATTGATTCTGGGTTTTATCAGTTACGTTTTGACTGAATTTCGTCCAATTCCACAACGCCGTCAAAACATTAGAAGCGGCATTGTACTTAAATTTTTTCATTCGAAAGCACTCCACGCCAATAAACCGAGGAGTTAATACTTTGCAATCCGAGTCTTGACTGTTTAAAATCAGGAATATTTGATCAATTCACAACGTTTAAGCTGTAATGTCACTTATAAAGAATTTGGTAAAGGAACCCGAAAGGAAGGATTCGAAATCGGACAATGATAGCGATGGTGAAAAGAAGCCGAGGCCAATAATAAAATCCGCTATAGATCTGCAACGTTTGAAACTTGAAAAACTAATGAAAAATCCTGTAAGTATAGCCATTACACTATGTGGGCCTTGGGTCTCTGATCACAACGATTAAGTTGTAATATTATCGATGTTCTTAACTCCGGAGGTATGGGGTTATGAAGTCCTTGGCATAGTCTCTATTGGCATCTGTGTGTTATTGATAGCCTTAAAAACACCGGGACAGTGACCAGCAAAATTTGTTGCAATAAGTGATATGTCGTTTTAAATGGTAGAACTTTCCTAGGGACTTTTGGATAGGTCGTTATAACCGATATTTCGTTATAAATGGTGTCGTAATAAACGATTTCTACGGTATCTTGCTAAATTTGCATTAGCTGCAAATGAGAATTAGAAGGGTACCATAACCAATCATCTGTAGTTACTAGACCCTTGAGTAAGGATAGATTTTCTTAAAACAATGTTTTTGGAATCGCTCATGGCCCATTGGGCTAGGTTCTCGTTTATAAAATAAATTGAAATTAAAAAAATTAAATTGAAATTAAATTTCCCAAATAACAAGGATCTGTACACGAAATACGCTAACACTTATTTCTTTTCCATAGGACAAACCTGTGATTATCCCTGAGCATCGCAAAGAAAAGGACTATATGGCAAGTGTTCCCACATTTGTGCGAAATGTTATGGGTTCCAGTGCTGGAGCCGGGTCTGGAGAATTTCATGTGTACCGGCATTTGCGTCGCAAGGAGTATGCTCGCCAAAAAATGATTCAACAGAAAAGTTTGCAAGAACAACTTGACGATGAGTATCAGCAAAAAATAGAAGAAAATCGTCGTAAAGCTGAAGAGAAAACGGCAAAGAAGAGAGCAAAGCGCCTTAAGAAGAAGCAACGGGCAAAAAAGCCTAGACAACAGAAAGCTCCCAGTGAATCGACGAAGAGCAATGAAGACGATGGCAATACATCAAGCGACTGTAGTGAGGACAACGATAATGACAATAAAGCAAATGACGATAGTCCAACAACATTAACATCTAACGAGTCTGTGGAAAATAATGCGCCCAGTGTCAATAACGCCGATGATTGCACGAAGGATGCTAAATCAAATTCCTCTGATGAAACTCCGCTGAATAAGGATACAATATTGGTAGAGTCTTCTTCGGCATCTACAGCAGCAACTAAAGATGATGTTACAGAAAACGATAAAGAGCATCCAGACACATGATTATAGATGTACTTTTAAATATTTTTATGTAAAAAAAAAACATTTTTTAATTAATAAATAGAATTCTTTTACGAACTGCGTCCGTATTCAATGACATTTTATGCCATTATGGCATAAATATTTTCAAAACAAAATCAGAGACGGAATTGAGATTAGATTTTACTGGGGAATTTCGAGGTATGGGGAAAAGGTGTAACAGTCCCGAGAAGGAAAACAATATAGTTCCAATCCTCCGGCATCCACGTTTGTGAAGTTAATGTCAAAAACATCCATACACCCCACTTTAAAAAAGTGCATGTGGTATCTTCGCCATTCATAATGGGTCGATTATGAATTGCAAACAAACATGAATGTGCTCATTGTCAGTTGCCCTTCGAATGAAACTTTCTAGTAATAGCAACATGGTATTATAAAAGGTAACAGCAAATCCCAGCTGATTTGATTCCAACGTAATACTAGTGTCAATATGAATTTGACAAATTATGTTTTTAAAAATCACCCAACAGGAAAATTGGGAACGCATACAATTTGAAATTGTTCTTTATTAAATGTGCTCTTGTATTCAATTTACTCAATCTGCCTGCTGGGAAAGTTTGAGGAAGCAAATCTTTCTTCAAGGAATAACTCGCTATTCCCAGCATTTTCATATGTGTTACACATATATATGGCAATGGCTCAATTATAGGAAATATGTGGAAGCGATAGAAATATAAATTTGAAAGATTTTCATTCATGTTTTTCAATTTTTATTTTGAGGATTCGAAAATATTTCATTTTCAAAATAAAAATAATTTGATGATATTTTGTTTGTTTACATTTTTCTGTCAAATGAGTTGACACTAGTAGAACTTACAACAACAAATTTCCATGTGGTTGTTGTATCGTTTTTTGTACAACAACACTTGCTGTTACCTTCTATTATTATACCATGTAATAGCAATAATAATTTTTAATTCCAATTTTTCTTTATTTTCCGGCCAAGTTTCGAATTTCATCTCTGAAATAATTAAGATCAACATTTCCATTAGCTTATTGCCATATAACAAAAAATCCTCCCAAAAAATACATTCTTAATAAAACAACTCAAATGTCTTTTGTTATGTATTTCGAATGGATTATATATGTATATTGAATGTTTATTATTGCAAATTTCTGAGTATTCATTTCGTTTTAAACACAAACAAATTAAGGATGGATTTAGATTTTCATTATATTTTATTCGGATAAATGACGACATGACAAAATCTACATATTTAGTTTATATCATCTTATGTTTTGTTTGAGTGAAATAAAATTATTAATTTGTGAAACAGTAATTCTTTTCACTACCGTTTTTTTTTTGTTTGTTTTCAGAATAAAGCCTCATAATTACTGTTTCCACTCATAGTTTCCTCTTTCAGATATTTCAAAATGTTTGTTTTTGTTTTCGGTATAGAATTGGTGGAATTGTTTTTTAAGCATTTCAATGATATATGTATGTGCAGCAGCAGAGTGTTCTCCACTTTAGATTTATATACTTGTTTAGTTTTTCTTCATATATTTTAACAATAACAAAATGTTGCAAAGAAAGAAAAGCAGCTACTAAATATTCTGGTTTTCAGAGAACTTATAATTTGGACAAATATTATTACATTATTGACGGCGGTGATGAAATTAATGAAATGTTGAAAATGTGTCTGTTTATAGCAGTAAAACAAGTTGTTTTGGATTTTGTTTAGCCAAGTATTTTTATATTTTCCCAAATTTGTTGTTGATACTGTTTTTGCTTTTACTTTCACACGATATATTTCATGTATTTCGAACATGTGTAACTTTAGTAAATACAAGTTTGAATTTCAATACAATTTCGAGATAGTGCATATAAAATTGGGTTTTGTTGTCTTTATCTGACTGTTAATAATTGTGGGAGTGCTTAAAAAAATTAAACTTTAAAAAAATAAATGAACAGAATTCGTTGGCAAATAAAAAATCTATACAATATGTATTGGATGTAGTATGTCATTCTTTTGACACGCTGTGTTATTACAACTGTATATAAAAAAATAAAACAAATTTGTATTTACTTAGTCGTCGTTGAGCACATTTTGTATGATCCAAACTTCAATTACATGGAACGGACTTCAATGTTTTCCTCATGTTGACTGGCGGCGTTGGCTGTGGAGTTTCGATACTTGGAGGTGGTTGAATTGAAATGTTATTAGATTTGGGAAGAAAAACACAACACACATGTATATCGGGGTCTTATAATATATGTATCATCAGTTGTCGTTTACACAAGGTCTGGTTTTTCTCCTCTTCATTTTTGTTGTTGTTGTTAATTATTAACTCTCTATGAGTAATGTAAATATAACTCGCCTTAATTAAAAAAGCCCTACTATTTAAAGTACAAATTAAGATTAACTTAAAATTTCTACTTGAACTTGAATTTATAGAGACACATTTTCATTAAGTTTTATTTTCTTTTTTCATTTTGTATAAAATCATAATTCTAATAATGATTGTATGTGTGTATTTATATATATAGAAATAATAATTAAAAATAATAATCCAGCAAGCGAAAACTTAAAGTGTGTGTGTTGTTTACAATTACAATTAAAAGGCGTAGTACACATAACATTCGATTTGAGTTCTACTCAATACTTACAATATAAGAGAAATAGATTTGAAAACAAGTCTGCCTATACCTTGCACTTTCTTTTTCGGAAAATGTCGAGAATTGCAGTATATTCTAAAACTTGGTTCTAACAGGCATTGGCAGGCAAACTATCATTTGGACTCACGAATCACGATTACGCCTAAAAAAAAAAAAATGTGAGAATTTTGCACTTTCAAGCAATTGCGTTTGCCATATCTTGGTTGGTTGTAGTTGATTTTTTTTTGTTTAAACGTAATTTTAGTTGGTAATCTATATTATATAGAGATGAATCACAAGATTCTTGAATTGTTTTGTTTTTTTGTTTTTCGATATTAAATTATAATCAATAAATATATATTTATGTATAGGTTGTGTGTGTGTGTATTTTATCTGCATTAATTGAAGTAAATTGTAGCTCTTAAACAATATATATTATTTTATTTTCATCTCCTGACAAGGGAGCACACAAAACAGACCAATGCCAAATTATGTGTCCCTATCGCCTAACCTTTTTATTATCATTAATTACTATTGGCTTAACGACATTCCCAAACCTTAACCGTTGTATCTACGCTACCCGAAATGACATATGGATGTGTTTTGTGGAAATCTGTGAGAAAAAAATAAAATTATGTATAAGAAAACGATTTGACTAGCAGAAATCAATTCAAAAGCACATACCAACTGAAGTGCAGAAATGTTGATGCGCGGTAAGAGTTTTCGTGCATCGTTTGTTGCGTAAATCCCAAATTCGTATAGTTTTGTCGTCACTGGCTGATATTAAATATTTGCCGCCGGGATGGAAAGCCAATTCTCGCACCCAGTTGTCATGTCCAGTGAGTACAAATAAGCATATTCCAACACTCACGTCCCAGACCTGAAATAAAGAAAACATAACGTCATTCATAAAATGTATTTTTACAACAACCAAAAAATGTGACGCGTCACATCATACATGTAAATAAATTGTTTTAAAAAGTATAGTAAAAATATGAGCTACCCGGACATTAATTAGTTCACATAATAATATTCGTTCGATGTGTAATAATATATATTTTGCTCCTATACAAACTTGACAAAATTCCGATATATGCGATTAAAAGCCAACATATTAAAGAAGTCAAATGAATTACAATGGAATAAGTGTGTGGATGAATTTTGATCCTACTTTTGCAAGCCCTTTTGCTCTTCAAGATACCAGCTAAAATCTATACCAACTCCAAAAATTGTAATCACAAGAATTTTGTCAAATTTCTATTGAGGCAAAATATTTTTTTAAGCCCCTGCATGTATATATAAATTGTATGGAATAAAAATATGTCAATAATAAATTAGAACTAATCGAATAAAAAAAAAGAATTAATTAACACACATACTACATATTATGAAATATTAACCACTTATCATTGATGTTTCAATTATTTTATAGCTTAATTGCTTTTGCATTTGATTCCTCTATAGGAATTTAGATTGAATTATAAATATAATAATATTAACTTACGCGAATGGTTTTGTCCCTTGATCCAGATGCTAAGAATGGACCTTGATGGTGACCTTTTTTGTTATCTGCTCCTGCAGCTTCATTAATTGCAGAAGAAGCAGCCTCTGGTGCCCAAGCAATACACTCAACTGTGTGATCATGGTCGCGTAACTCAACCTTTTATTAAAAATATTCAAATTAATAAATTACAATCCAAAAAGAGAAAGATATTTTTGTATTTAAACTTACTTTGCAGTCTTTTGAATTTAACGACCAAACACGAACTGTGTGATCAATTGAGCATGATGCAAACAAGTTACCTTCCATGTGTACACGTACCATACGTACCCACTCTCGGTGGCCAACAAAAGTTTTGACACAATATCTGCAATTTTAGAAAATGTAGTCAAGTAAAACAATACATAAATTTGCTCACACAAGTTTGTATATTCGACACTCACCCAGTGGCAACTTCCCACATTTTAATTGTTCTGTCACGTGACGCTGAAAGCACGTAATCACCGGCTGGCACAAAAGCTACAGACGATACATTGTGATCATGTCCATGCATTGTTTTGACACATTCATAACTCTGCTGGAAATCCCATAATTTGATAGACAAGTCAGCGCTGCACGATGCTGTATATGGAATAAAAAAAATAAGTATTATCCCAAAGAAATCATTATTGGGAGAGTAGCATCATACCCAGCAGTTTTCCTTGAGCATCAAATGCTATATCCTGCACGGAATTTGTGTGACCCTTAAGACTGCGTTCATATTCTCCTGTTTCAAAATCCCATATTTTAATGACTGCATCTTCTGATGCCGATACCATTAGACTGAATATTGGATGAAATATAACCTAAAATAACCGTCAAGTTATTAATTTTCAATCATTAATATTTGTTTTCTATATAGAGAGATACTTACTCGTGTTATGCTGGCACGATGACCTGATAATGAAAACTTTTCAGGTGGTCTGGGTATCCATTCGCCAGGTTTACGATCTACTTTTGTCGGAGCACCCTCTATAACCTCTTTTTGAGTTTCTGCAAGTTTAGCCTCAAGGTCCAATACTTTCTTTTGTAAACGTATAACCGAGGTCCACTTCTTTTCTAGCAGACCACCAAACTTCTTTTCAGTTTCACCACTGAGATCGGCTTCTTTACGGAAAGCTTCCAATGATTCTGAGTATCCATTACTGCCTAAATAATCGGCAATCGCTTGGTTACTGCAATTGAAAAAATATTCGAAATAAACAACTGTTTGCATCATTCAGTATCATTTGAATACTTACAGCTCCTCGCGCTGCCGTTGCGACAACACCATTTTCATGCTGTTCTCAATTAAGGTCGGCTTTGTGTTGTTCCTCACTGATAAATGTCACTTTTGTACAATTGCCAAAATATTCTTTTATATTTAGTAAATATATTCCTTAGTGCTCAGCACTTTAGGGATATCTGAAAATAGAAATGACATTTAATTTGTTATTTATTAATTTATTTTAGAAGTAGTTTTATGTGTTTTATGGAATTTTTCTTCTTAAAAAGTCTGCGTGCAGGGAACAAAAAAATTAATAATTACTGACAGGTTTACATTGGATAAGTAGTTTTGTGTTGCCATCTACCACAATAGCAGGTTAAAAATAATTCGATTGCCTACATAAAAATGTAAACGTCAATTCAAACTTCATTTTAAATTAGTCGGAAAAAATTTACATAATTTATATTAAAGTATTTTGCCATTAAATGGCAAGTTTTTTAATTATATATTTTTGTCTGGAGTCACAATCACAATAAAAGAGAACTCTTTTATTTCTACTCCGACTTAAGAACCCTAAAGAGTTTTCAACGCAGTTATGTGAAGAAGAAAGTGAAGAAATGCTAAAAAAAATCTCTTTGATACAATAAGGAATCTTATTGAGGTATCATATGAATTGATTAAAATTTGTGATTTTCCATTTGATATTCTCATTTCAATATTTTCTAAATCTAACACATTATCAAACTTTTATTTAGATAAGAAAAGGTATATAACAACAAAATATAAATCAAATTCGAACAAATATAAACATCACGGTGTAAGGTTCGCTGTTAAAAATAACAAGTGTTTGAATTTGTGTATAGCTTTCAATTGTTATAGGACCACATGGCCATTAATATAAATTTGCTTTGAAGGCATATTTAGGATATCATCGTTGTCATTTATGCAATTTGCAACCCATTGAAATCATAATCGTTACATATTACATACATAATTTCCAAATTAGTCGTCCGAAAACGAACAAATTAGAGCAAATATTAGGACGAATGCAGCTCTATGCACACTTCCCAGTTTGAACGAAAACGTGTTACTTCAATGTTAACATATGGGTGGATTGGGACATATTTATCCTTGGGAGCAACACAATATCGTACAATGCCTGATTTGTGGCGAAAATTTCAAATTATTTCAATGAAGGGCCTGCGTTATTAGAATGTCATTTAGGACGAACAAGTTTGGAAAGAATGTATCAATTATTATCACAACAACAATATCATTGACATAGGCCGCAGTATTAGTTCTATGTTAGTCCAATTTCACAAGTATTTCGTTCATAGCCAGTAGCTATATCAGGGGTCATACATACGGAACTCTCTCCAATGAATTCAATTAGGAAGTATTAATTTTTTTAACGCTTATGGTTTACTCATTTGTCATACCACCAAAAATTCAGATTTTCCAATTAATGTGTTTTGGCATGTTTTAAATAATTTCAATGTTCTGCATGACTCACAAAAAAAACCTAACGGTGGTTTCAATGTTCTATTAACAACATTTTGGATTGTAACATTAGATTGGATAAGGTCGTATTTACACATTTGCTATTAACTGTTATATTGTGGTTTATTTGATATTATTCTCCTACAAGATACGTCAAATAAACCACAATAGGGTAGTTGATCGCATAAATGTGTTACGAAAAAAAAATCGTATACGCCAAACGATTAGGGAAGCAATTATTGCAGAAAACACTTTTATCTACAATTAATTGTCATATATCCAGAATAATATTAAATTATGTTTGCTCTCGGAATTTTATTTTATGTTAGTCCATTTCCTAACGTGTGTGGACTGCTCCAGCAAAGGGAGAGGGGGGATAATCGATTTTTCTGCGACACTGTGGTAACTATTCATTTAAAATATAACGGCTTGATGAAGAAAACAAAAGCACAAAGAACTGTCACCACACATTACTGGTTATGGTTTTTTTGTTTCCCTTCTTTTGTAGTTTTTTCGTATTTTTTTGGATTTATTTATACATTTGTCTTTGAAAACCTATTAATTGCTGAATCAAATTATGAGGACAGGTGCTGATGTCACATAGATATTTTTACACTAACTTCGAAAGAAGACTCAAACCGAATTTCAATCAAATTTGTTTATTCAACATCTCTGACGAACTATCTAGGCATTTTGCACAAAACCAAAGCTTGGTACGGCGAAACAGATATAGTTGAATGTATATAGAAACCGAAACACAATATTTTTTAATTCTTGTTTTGCAAAATATTTACTGGTATATTAATCTCTGAGCTCAGCTGGCTGGCAGACGACGACGGACGATTAATGAATGAGTCATAACTAAAAATCTCCAAAATGTTGTCAGAGAGCACAAGTATACACATCAGTCATGACGGCGCATTCATTCTAGTAGTCCCCAAAGAACATGGTTTGTTGTTTTTGTTGTAATCAAGCTTTTCTCTTGTGTTAGCCCTCTCTCAACTAAATACAACCAACAACTAAACAATCAAGGAACCAACTGGCCAACCAACCATTCGGTATACCACCACCACCACTTTATTACCCAAACATTATGAGAAAAGAAAAAATAAGACACGAATGAAAAATGCCAACAGTAAATGTGGCTAGCAAAACAAAACAAACAAAATCTAAATTCAGAAACAAAACGAGATTAGATTAAAAAAAAAACTTGTTAAGTATGTTTACTTTTATATGAGAAAAAAAACTAAAACAAATCTCAGTGAAAAACGAATTGAGTGAAAACGTTTTTACTTTTGATTGCACTAAATAGTGAAAATGATAGTAGGTGGCTTTGCAAAAACGACAAGATTTCAGGTGTTGTTGGCTGATTTTGCCTAAATAACTCACTCATCATGCTAGTTACTATATTAATAAGAAAATTTGCACAATAAACCTCTAATATCAATCAATAATCCATTTTAAAACAGATCATAAGAATAAATATCAGGGACCGTAACGGTTATAACTTATATAAAATCAGGTAAAAAATAACTGTTATTATGTGCCCTAAATAAAAAAAATATCCACTTTAATTATTTATTTTTTAACGGAAAAAATAAACGTTGATTTTTATTTTTTCCGTCAAAAATAAAGTCTTTTTGGGATTTTTATTTTTTCCGTCAGAAAATAAGTCTTTTTGGGATTTTTATTTTTTCCGTCAGGAAATAAAACTCTTTTACGTAAATAAACATATAGAGTTTGGTACCAGTTATATAACCTTTGACCTAATAGTCATAAAGGAAAATTTATCGTAGTAAAATGTAGTATTCTTGCAGGACTGCAGACAAATTGCATTTCTTTAAATTATTCAACTGCCAGCGTCGAAATGTCAGTGCTGACACAAAATTTAAATATTACTACTCAGATAAGCATAATTTACATAGGTATTTTGAATTTAATCTATGACCCACATTTTTAGAACGGTACACAAACTGTAACCTATAATTCTACTATTTTTGATAAGGGTATTTAATATTAATAAGAAAATTTGCCCAATAAACCTCTAATATCAATCAATAATCCATTTTAAAACAGATCATAAGAATAAATATCAGGGACCGTAACGGTTATAACTTATATAAAATCAGGTAAAAAATAACTGTTATTATGTGCCCTAAATAAAAAAATATCCACTTTAATTATTTATTTTTTAACGGAAAAAATAAACGTTGATTTTTAACTGTTAAAAATGATTTTTATTTTTTCCGTCAAAAATAAAAGTCTTTTTGGGATTTTTATTTTTTCCGTCAAAAATAAGTCTTTTTGGGACTCTTATTTTTTCCGTCAAAAATAACAGTCTTTTTGGGATTTTTTTTCCGTCAAAAATAAAGTCTTTTTGGGATTTTTATTTTTTCCGTCAGAAAATAAGTCTTTTTGGGATTTTTATTTTTTCCGTCAGGAAATAAAACTCTTTTACGTAAATAAACATATAGAGTTTGGTTCCAGTTATATAACCTTTGACCTAATAGTCAGGGGAATGATTCCTTAATTAATATTCATTATTTGGTACACTAGACTATATTTTTAAAAATGTATAACAAATATTTTTTTACCTTTGATCTTGATTACTTATGTGTACACTTATTGTAATAAGGACAGAGATTTATAAATTGTAATTTTATAACTGATTACAACTTACGTAAAAAGAGTTTGATTTCTTGACGGAAAAAATAAAAATCCCAAAAAGACTTTTATTTTCTGATCCCAAAAAGACTTTTATTTTTGACGGAAAAAATAAAAATCCCAAAAAGACTGTTATTTTTGACGGAAAAAATAAAAATCATTTTTAACAGTTAAAAAATAACGTTTATTTTTTCCGTTAAAAAATAATCCTTAACATGGGAACTGAGAGTGTTTTCTCGAGATCACTCAATATCCTTAATGGGCTCCTCAATACGAATCTATTGGTATATGACACTATTGGTGTCCCATGTCTCTAAAATGAAGATTTTTTTGTTCGCATTTTAAAAAATAACTGTTATTTTCGGTCCCTGATAAATATATGTATGTATACTACACTGATATCCTATGACGTAGACAACTGCGACAAAAACTAAACTTGTTGTAGGAGGGTGGTGGTTGGTTAATGGACATGCGCATTATATAAAATAAAGAGATTCATTATTTATAAGACTTCCTTTTGGGTTTCGAATTGCCCTATTATGAAGTGTGTCCTTTATTTTAAATTTAAACAAAATATACTGTGTTTTTGTTTATCAATCCAACAATTAATATGTATTTGTCATTGGATGTGATAAACATAGAGTGGGCGTATTGTTAAATTGTATAATTTATTCAAAACTGCAAGCTCGTGTACGAACGTAAGGTTTGCAGTGAATAAAATCTATCTTTATGTAAATGTACTTAAGCCACAAGAAATGGTAGATTTAGTGAAGGTTTTTGATAAACATTGTGACAACATTGATCAACATAACCATCATCATAAACGAAAAAAAAAATGATTACCGTTTATTCTAAATTGCCATGAACATCTTTTATACCATTAAAATATACATTAGAATATACATTTTTCAATAGAGAGAACAGGAAATATCCTGTTTCCCAAACAGACACGTACAATATTTGTCAATGCGTTCCATAAAAAAAAAAT